CCTATGTTAATTAATATACCCATCATGCTTATAAAAACCACCATCCTCAGTTGTTGAAAAAAGCAGACCCCGACTCTTTGTTTTAGCGCCCTCCTGCTGCTTAAGCTTCCGGCTCTGCACTGAGTACAGATACTTTTTAGAGAATAGCTGGGTTTAAATGGCTCTCACTGTTACCTGCACGGTATAAATGTGACAAAGCATGTTAAAAAGTGGTCAAAAGAATGTGATCAAACATTTGTATTCCAAACCACAAAAACAATTTCAAACATTTCAAAATGACAATGTGCCCAATCCCCCCAGAACACAAATGTACTTGTGCAAAGCTAAAGTAATATTTTACTTTAAAAATATCCAGTCTAAGGCTGAAAATATTCATGTATTTAGGATTTTATGCAATTTGTTAATGCTTTAATTCTCTTTCACTTAAGTAAGGCTGCGCATTTCTTTAACTGAAGTGCTGAATCGTGACAATCTACACCTGTGTGTGTGTGTGTGTATTAGCTGCACCAAAAACCAAGAGAAAGGAGTCCGGCAGAACTCTATTTGAAGACTTTGTCTGGTGTACCAGAAAAGTACAAACCACTTTGAGAAAGTACCCTTGCAGACCCAAACACTAAATGTTCAAGATTTGGAAAAACGGTTTCCCTAAAAAAAAAAAAAAGTCCTAAAATTAGAAACATTTCAAAGATCTATATTTGCAATTCAAAAATAGTTTACAGATTCTTGATTTACAGCCAAATCAATGCACAGTGCAACCTCTATTCCCCGTCACACCATTGGTCTTTATTTTGGTAACTGTTTAAATTGATTGGCGGTTTAACAGATTTGGGATCAGGTCTAACCATGTTAGAAACTATAACCAACTGGGACCAACTGCTCAAATGTCATTACTGCACCAAGAGCAAAGCTGATTGGCATTCCCACGAGTTTCCAGGATCTGCTCATTTAAATTAGGATTCAACTATCGGGGGTAATACACACCTACATACAATACAAAAAAAACACACTCGAATACCAGTTCTTGTAGTAAGGCAGAGATTGGACTGGATGCCACAAGACGAAAACCCATCGACCGAATTCACCTGCACCAAGACAACCACTAGAGCACTCCTAAGATATGGTTAGAATCCACAAAAGGACTGCGTTTGCAAATATCTTTAAGTATCACTAGACTCGCAAAAAATCTCCAATTTTGTCAAGTTGTGACACCACAAAACGCTCCCAGTACATGTCTGGCAAATAGCAATGGCCGTGTCATAACAAAGGGGGCTATTTATATTATTTGTGCTCAACATTTTTACAATACTGAAAGTTTAACAATTTATTTGGCTTGGGTGGATTCTGAGATATTCAAAATGCGCGAAGGATTTGAGAGCATCCAGTGATTATTCCTTTTAACAGTGCGTAGCTGGCAGAAAATGGACTCAAACTGTCTCTGGTTGGTTGATTAATTTCTAAGGACTTTCAGTACCATTAACCAACGCTACATACTATTTGTGCAGTAGTATTTTTTACAATGTTTTACTTCATGCAAATCCGATGACAAATAGTTATTGCCAACGATAGCCTTGCAAAACCCAAATGTAAACCGATACCACCATTGAATGTATCCGCCAGTAAAAACCTTAATGAAAGTAAATGGATTGACCCAAACATGGCACTTGAAAACAAGTTTTTGTGCAGCAGAATTTACTGCATGACACCAGTGACTATAAGTTAAGGTTATGTTGTATGGTCTTCCAGGTCAATATACATTTTAGTTAAGCACCACAATAATTTGGGGAAGAAACTGGCATAATTTATTCAACCGCAAATTGCATTGTACGTTTGTCACTCTGAAGCAAATTAAGCAGCAAAGTAGGAAAATGGTTTAAAGGGTGATGCTGATCCATATAGTGTTTAAACCTTCCTAACAAAAAATAAAAATCTATGTCTGATGTGTGTGTGTAGTATGTTTTTTTAAAAACACAACAGAATTATCTTCTAGGATTTCAGCTGTTAAATTCTCGTATGTTACTGCACAGGTACGATCAAAAAATCAAGTTTGATAAATAAAAAAAGACTTACCTTTGGCTAAATAAGAAGCAGGGTTGAGAGAAGCTGGATGAGAATAGCTACAATTAATCCCATTGTTGGCATAAACTATGCCCAGGATTTATTATTATTATTTGCTGATAAATCACAACCATCTCATATTACGAGAAAAGAAGTGGCCTAAATGACAGGAATACAATGGGTTTATGTCTACTGTTTTTCGACGACTGTCTCAACCCTGCCCTTAGTCACCACGGGACCTGTTGAGTTAAAATACATGCAAGGTTGAGCGATAAGGAAAGACACTTACCCCATGCCGCCACGGCCCATGCCTCCACGGCCACGGTGCATCATTCCACCACGATCAAAGCCGTCCCTTCCAGGACCCCGGCTGTCCCCTGACCCTGGGTACCTTGAAGACTCAGAGCCAGAGTAACCAGAACCTCCCCCCTGGCCATCCTGTCTGTAATTACCTACATAAGAGGAGCACAAATGGATTAAGGCATGTTTTACAGGGACATAAAGATTAACTGCATCAAGGAAAATTAGAGGCAGGGTTGAGCAGGCTTACTGTAGTGGTTGGACTGGTTGTAACTAGGAGGTCCACCTTGCTGACTGTACTGGTTGGCTGGAGGCTGACCATAAGAACCAGAAGCCTGAGGAGGGTAAGCTGGAGGAGCCTGTGTTGGCTGCTGGGTCGGCTGCTGGTATCCTTGCTGCTGACCGTAGCTAGCCTGCTGGGCCTGGTAGCCAGATTGCTGTTGCCCATATGTTGCTGGCTGAGAGTAGCTACTTTGGCTGTAACTTGCTGGTTGGCTGCTAGCATTGTAACTAATGCAGAGTCACAAAAAGACAAGAGCATTGACTGAGATGAGGGGGGTGTCCTTGCAGAATTCCCATTATTTGGTTTCAATCTGAGGGGTACATACCTCTGTGGTGCAGTGGGAGCCGCTTGCTGGCCATAACCAGGGTAGGCAGACTGCGCAGTATACCCGGGCTGAGAGCCATACGACTGGGAAGCAGCTGGAGCAGCAGCAGCAGGAGTACTTTCATAACCACTGGCTCCATAACTCTGGGTTGACTGAGAGTAGGTATTCGTGGTAGACTGAGCAGCCGGATAGCCAGCTGTAGGAAAAATATTTGGGTTCATTATCCACGATCAAGTTTTCTGAAATAACATTTAGATTGGGTAGAGGGCAGTCTGTCAAACTAAGACCATAAGCTGTAGGAAAAAATGTTACCATTACAAATGATATACACAACACACTGTCCAATTAGCTGACCTGTTGCAGGTTCACATTTGATTGGACAGTGAAAGGCCGTATCAGAATGTCAAAGCACAAATGATATTGCACTTTAAGGGATGTCTAAAACAAATGCCACTCTATAACGTAAAGTTGTGTTGATATTGGATGGATGGTTGCGTTCCAAGCTGAACACGTTTGTTTAGTAACTGACCTGCTGCCGGCTGGGCATATGAAGATCCATACTGCTGCTGCGGCGGCTGAGTGTAGCCTCCAGCAGCTGGTGCTGCCTGAGTGTAACTGCTATCAGCAGCAGCAGGTTGGGCATATGATCCATAATTCTGTTGCCCATAGCTCTGCTGAAAAATGAAAGATCACGTTTAGTCTGATTGGTAAAACAAACCACTTTAACCAGACTCAGGGGTAAAACTACATATAAAATTTCATTGAATGGATCATTATATCCATACTGCTTAAGGCCCTTCTTCACAGTCAAATTTTGAAAGCTTTAATGTGTGCTGTACAATGTTTATTGAACAAGAGATTCGGTATTGCAAAAAAAAAAAAAAAATCCATGCAGTTAAACTAAGAATAAAACACTAGAACAGCAGTGAGGCTAGAGCTCAGTGGTTGCTTTCCCCACCATGTCATTAAATCTCACCTGTGCAGATTGCCCATAGCTTTGAGAGGGCTGGGCAGCATAGGCAGCATACCTGTGAAAACAAAATGTAGATTTTTTTTTTAACGTTACGGGCTAACGTAAAACTACTTTACTGACGGTGAAACTGAGTAACTACAAGCCCATTAATGGCTACTATAAATGCACAAATAAAATTGAATTGTATTAATTAAGCTGTTTGGGGATTCTTACCCTTGCTGAGCAGTGGTCTGACTGTAGGTGCTGTAATCTGCTAAAGAAAAGGAACATGTGTTGGCAAACGACTGTCTTCAAACAGAAGGCTGTTTGCGCGCGAGCTGCAATGCTAGCGGCAATGCTAATGTTAGCAGCACGCTACACCGAGCCGTTGTTAGGTCGCCATTCAACAACAGAGCGGCGCTTCTACATTCACCACGCGCATTAAAAGTATCTTAACTTCGTTAATATGGCCTCCATTATCTAACGTTACTTCAGTGTATAGAGTGGAACATCCACCCAATTGAAAATACATCTGCGGCTTGATAAGCTAACGTGACTAGGCCTCATAATTAACGGTAAACGACATTAGAATTTAACGTACTGTAATCCGAAAAAAAGATATTATGCTAGTAAAATAACCTTCCAAATAGACCAAACCACTTAGTTATTTAAGTGGAATAACAGACATTGGTACAAAATATACACCAAATTTCTTAAATACTCTACTCACCGGGAGCCGACGCCATTTTAGTGTGCCTGTAGAAGACGACTAGACGAGTCTGGCTGCAGGGGAGATCAAATTCTCTTTGAGGGAAACTCAAATCTCGCGATAAATACGAAACATCGCGTGAACAGCGACGGATTTTAAATATTCACTTAAACGTTTTAAGATCAGTTTACCATATTAAGACTTGTTTTGATACTGTTCATGAACGCTTAATCAACTCTACGATACAATTAGCATCTATAAAAGTACAGAAACAGGTCGGTAATAATGACCCAATGGCCCATTAAAAGACCAATAACATCATGGATTGTAAAAGACAATGACCAAAGATTCGCTAAATTTTTGGCACCTTTGGCACCCTATAATGTTTGTATTCTTTGTAAGTATTGTTTGTAAATGTATTATCGATTCGTTCTGATTTGTGCTGAAGTATTTTCAGGCTGGATGTTGTTTTTAACGCAAACTTGCAGCAGTGTAGCAGTAGGTGGCAGCGTTGCGCTTTAGTTTGACGACTAACTCACTCAGTAAAATCAAAGAAGAAGAAGGCAGACGCGACAGAGAACGGAAGTGAAAGGAAAGCCCTCGAAATTCCTTTAGTCCTTTATTTTAAGAACATGTATCACTGGCGTATCGAGGGCACAGTTAGTTTACACTCACAGGCTGAGAGCAGGCACGACGGCGGAGATATTTTAACACGTTGAATCATGGAGGAAGTTTACGTCCAGTAACCACTGCCAGAATGACGTAACTCAAGTACAGGAGAGCGGAGAAACCACCGCGCGTGCTCGACGATGCTCCATCGTGTGTCGCCCGCGTGGTTTTGGTGCGGATCAGAGCGCGCGGGGTTCTGTCTGGGGACGTGCGTCTGCGCGGCGCTCGCGCTTCTGACGTACGCGGCGGGCGTCCAGGCGAGTCTCACCGTCGGCCCGGGTGGAGACTTCCCGAGGCTCACAGGTAACCGTGTGCTCACGTCACGGCTCTCTCATGTGTTTCACCGATGCAATGAACGCGTCATAGGCGCGCCCCCCCCCTCCTCCTCCTCCTCCAGATGTGCTCCTGTACGCCTTCAGTCACGACGAGCTGCTCTCCCTGCTGGTCAGCGTCGCCCTGCTGCTGCTGGTCGGACCGAGTCAGGAGCGTCGCTGGGGAACAGTGGCCTTCCTCCTCCTCTCCATCCTGACCACGGCCGCTGTTCCTCTCCTTTACGCCCTGCTCCTCTTCGTCGGCGGGGCCGGGCCGAGTCGGATCTGCGGCTGCTCCGCCGTCCAGCTGGCTCTGCTCGCGGCGCAGTGTCGTCAGGTGGCAGCGAGGAGGCTGCTGAGGTGTTTGCCGTTGTGGTTTCTGCCCTGGCTTCTTCTGCTGGTCGGCGTGGTGCTGCTGCCCGGGACACCTGCCCTGCTTCACTTCTGCGCAATACTCCTCGGACACAACTGTATCCTTACCTGTCAATTAATTCTACTAAATTATATTCTATTTTAGTTTTTAGAAGCTCTATTAGACCTCACGGAGGGTGACTGCACGTCACGTTGTTGTATTTGTAGGCTTTTTATTCTTTTTATTACATCTTATCAACATCATTTATTGCTCAGGAATTTGGAACACCAGTTTTTGTAAAGCTTTTAAATACAGACTTTTAAACGGAATGTGATTTCGTGCTGCAAGTTCGAGTCAAAGTGCGCCGGCCGCTGTGCCACCAAATCTGTGGTGAGGCATTGTGTCTTTTTTTCATAAGCCTTAATGTACCTCTCAGACACCATGGCATTCATAGGGATACTTCAGGAGCTGGAGGAGACCAGGGTCTTGGACTTGGTTCCTGATTGGGTGTATGTCCGCTCTTCAGCCAGGTGGAGACTGCCCGTCTGCATCGCCTCTCAGAGGTCTAATGACTCTCGTCTCACTGAATGTTCACACTCACAACCTGCAGGCAGATTTAATTAACCTGATCTGTTGTCACAGGTCCAGGTCCCTTTTTCTGTCACCGCCTGAAGATCAGGCAGCTGCCCCCCTGACGAGGGATCAATTGAACCACCACCCATGGGAGGATGGAGTACCCGCTTGGATAATGAACCGGTCTGCTGCACCGTCTGAGGCAGAAGTACCGGAGGAACATATGCTAAAAGCAGGAATTCTGGCCTCATTACAGGATGCCCCCTACAACCCTGATTCGAAAGTGGAGGTGCCCAAATCATCAGTTTCCTCTCTGCGGTTAGTAATAATCTCATATCTTCATGTGTAGCATTTGCATTATTTTGTAAACCTCCTCACATTATTCCCAAGTACAGTTTTAGTTCAGTGATTTCAAGTAACTATTTACTAAAAGTACATTGTTTCCTCTCAGGCTCCAGCAGCTGGAGAAGATGGGCTTCCCCACAGATAAAGCTGTAGTGGCGTTAGCTGCCTCTAAACAGCTGGATGGCGCAATTTCGTTGCTCATCGATGACAGCGTTGGAGAACAGGCCGTGGTGGTCTCCAAAGGGAAGACCACCTCCCACCTGTGAGAACTGAAACACTGTGCAATAAGCTGTACTTACATTATGCTTGGGTTTTGCTGAGCTTTAATATTAGATTATATATTTTCCCTGTGGGCTACTACTGTTAGCAATTTATGGGGGGAGGAAATACATGATTTGTTTTTTTGCCACAACTCAGGGCTGTAGTGGAGGTGCGTTTACGCACCTCTAGAATTTTGGAAATAGCGTTTACGCACCTATAAATAGCGTTTACGCACCTCAAAGTTCCCTGCGCCTTGTATTCTTCCGTTGGAATAATCCGAAATAAACTTGGTGTAATTTTAAAACAGCGAAGACTACGTTTCCTATTGTTGAACATATAAACGCCGTAGTCTGAATTATGTTCATCTGCGCTGTATTACGGTCTGTGAGCATCCAATCAGTGCCTTGCGGCTGCAGCAGCGACACCAATCAGGATCAGGTAGTAGTCGTTGCGGGCGGGCGGGCGGGGTAGTAGTAGTAGTCTGTACGCCTGGTACGCCTGGTGACGCGTAGATTAGAAAACAAGTCAGTTCTCAATGTGAAAAAAAACATGCTGTAGGCTATTTATGATGACATAGGTAGTACATGAGTGTTCCTTTAACTCATGTTGTCAGTGTAATTGACAGGCTGCTTAACAGGTTAACTCTTAAATTCAACATATTTTTTCAGGCAGTGAGAGGACAGGCAATGATGCAGAGAGCACAGGGAGAGGAGAAACACCAGGTCCAATAGAGAGAGAAGCACAGAGGAGCCATGAACCCCAGAACACGCGTTCTGGGGTTCATGGCTCCTCTGTGCAAGGCAGGACCTGACGTGGAGGACAAGGAGGCCCTCTGGGCACTACTGTAAAAAGGAGACTCCGTATGTATAGTTCTTAATCTGCAATTGTGTTGTTGTGTTGTGTTGACATACTTTTCTTCACTGTTTTCTTAGATTTAATAAAATACAAACAAACTACTAACACATTTATTCATTGTCATTGATTGTATATGACTTTTACTGATAACATAATGTAATATAGCCAGGACAGCCTTACAGAGTCGCGACGCTTTGTGTTGCGTTGCTTCGCATCGCGTCGAGGTCTGTATGATCACAAAATTCAGAGTTTACCCACCTCTAATTTTACCACTACAGCACTGCGTGTAACTGTACCTCAAATCATGTACATGTGCATGTAGGAGCATCTGATGTTTTCAGAGACACTTTCTGTATCCACGCGCAAAGTGTAAATTGGAGCGGGTAGAAGCCGTTTATTTATGCTGTGAAAATGTTTAATGAATGGGGTTATGGTGAAGACAAATAAAAAGCCGGCATGTTAATAAAAAAACAACGTGCATTATTTTATTACACCATTCCTCTAGACAGGATTATCACAATAACAAAATTTGCATGAAAAACATGTTGAATGAAATATAAAATGGTTACACAGCATACAAAATAAGATACAATGATCATTTTAAATAGTTTCACAATAAGTTTGAAAAAAAACAACAATCACCAGGTGTTTTCATGGGGACAGTTTAACACGTGGTAATATGTTTCCTTAGAATGGACATCCAATTCCAGAGATGTTTAAAATGAGTTTTCTTTTCAGAATGCAACATAATATGTGGCTGTTTTTGGTTTATATGTCATCAAACCCAAATGTGTGTTCTTGTGCAAAGACTAAACGTGATGTACTATTGTATATTAAAGCACTTTATCAGTGTGTACCATGGGGGAAGGGTGGGAGCAACACTTACACCAGAAACACTACAAAACACTGCTAGCAACATATATCTTAGCTAAAGTAGCGATGCCTTCATCTTTTAGTGCACTACATAACATTGAGTTAAACAATATGATTATAACAAAATGAATACTAGAACAAGAGGTTTGTTTGTGTACTTGTCTCCTGCAAACTGTACATGCTCATTATACTTAAATAGTGGAATCTCTTCAGATTGCAGTTACATTGTGAAAGCAATAAAAACGCAAAATCCAGTTTATTTTCTCCCATCTGATTTCTCCTTTCATTGATTATTCTAAATGAGCCTAATTTTCAGGAACTGTTTGTAGCTCGAGGAGCACCGAAGAAGATTTTCCTTTCCTCAAACATTAAACATCTTCGCTCTGGGGCCGGACTTCTGAAGCCAAAGGAAGCTGCTTGCTGCGTTACGCAATGACACCTGTTTGGTTACGGGGATCGAACTAGTTACCGGGTTCCTGATGTAGGAGGACATTGTGGAGTATCAGTGGTGTTTTCCCTGAGGTGTCCCCCCATCCTTAATCTGAAAGTAAAGCCCAGAGAGGGTATCAGGTATCAGATACGGTCTAAATCTGATGACGGCCAATGAGACCTATGGGAGGGGGGGGGGGGGGGGGGGTCAACCCAGCGCGCGATCCTCAGGGTGAGCAGGAGGGGGCTACTTCCCTCGAACCTTGGTGTTGGTGGACAGAGGAGAAGCAAGTCGATATGGAAGCGCACCTGCTCGCTTATCTCTGTAGAAACTAGGGGAGGCTGTGCCAAACGGTCCGTCCCCAGACCCTACATCAGGCTCTGTTGAAGAAAGACAGCAGTTGGAACGAGGCCTCCCTGTCCGTCAGTGTGTGAGGACATGCGTGCTCTGTAGTCCTAATCCAAGTCTACTCCCACCTGGCTGTTCACCTGCAGGTGTCAGGAGTGGGTCCTTATTTTGATCGGACACCAGTTGCCCAGTTTTTACATCAAAATGGTTAATGAAGTGATTAGTGTAGAAAGGATTCAGGAAATCCTTCTTTGCTGGATTTCTTTGTAAAGGCCGTGCATCTAGAGCGTGTGACAACTGTTTGTCAATTTCTCCATTTATTTGTTTTTATAGATTAGTTGTTTCTTCTATAAAATGTTGACAACCAGCAACAGTTAACCACTGAAATATATTAAATTCCAAGGACGTAACGCAGCATATGAGAAGCCAAAATAAAATTTTTGAAGGCAATTTCTTCCTGCATAAATAACTTAACAATTCAGTGGTTTTCAAAAATGATTATCTGTCATTTGAATAATTGTTTTATTGACTTCTCATTGCAGCACTATTGCTAGACTAACATACTAAACATTCATTGATACACATACACACTCAGTTATTATACAAATAATTATAGCCCGTAAAACAATATCAAATCAAATAATCAATGTTAAAATAAATCGTTGGGTTCATTAGGAGTTTAACACTCAGCCGATGTGCTTCAGCAGGACTGTGGTTTGATCACATGGGATTGATGGTTCTGGTGACATCAGAAACCAAATAAATGAACCTTTATCTGATTTATTTTCAAATGTTGCTCCATCCTTATTGGAGCTTGGAAGTTTGTGACATTAACCCGCAAGAAGAGCAAAGATAAATGCACAACAGCAAATTCCCTGTGAAATAACACATGTGATCATGTAAATAGTGTTTCAGGGCCTTTCAAATATCTTTGCCAGAACCAAAACAATTCATACATAAGAAGACATCTACTTTTTTCAGCGACTAGATCAACATGCAGCAGTTTAGGGATAAATGATCAATTCTATGCTGCTATCATGTGATCATTTGACCTCGTAAAAAAGGTGAGTGAGGGCTGGCAGAGCTGTGGGTGAGGATGTCTCAGCGTTACCTGGCCAGATGATAGCCTCCAGTAGTGTCACCCTGCGAGCCAGAAGCTCGAGGTCTGCCTGCAAGTCGTGGAACATCTGCAAGCTAATGTCCTATCAGAGAGCAGCAACAGGGGGGACCGTGTGAGGGGGGTTGGAAACACCGGCCTGAGTCCCGGGGCTGCTCGCGACTGTTCCCACTCCCTGTCCCAGCGGTGAGGTACAGTGACAGTTTACTGCCCCCCACCACCTTTGACCCCTGCCTAAAGCTGACCTAGCCTCAGGCCCCCTACTCACCATGAATACCGATCATAGTCTCAAGGATTAAAACCCGCTCGGCTAAGATCTTCAGCGCCTCTCTGATCTGATGTATGCCGTCCCCCTGTGAAGATAGATACAGCCGTCAAGGTAAGGAGCACAGGCAAAAGGACTGCTCGCCAGGATGCAAGTCATTATGTCTCTCAGTACAATTCAGCAGTTAGAAGGTTAAAACAGTCCACATATCTGCACGGCGCTCTGAGACATATCTGTTCCCCGTATTTCTCTCATTCTCTGGCCATGCCGCTGTATGAGCTCAGCCGCTGCCATGCTGGGCCGGAGAACATCGGCATGCACGTTACAGACCAGCCCCATGTTGGTGACATAACACAGCAGGATCCCATTAAACCAGGATTTAGATTGGATCATGCCATCTGCATTCTTTTTTTTTTTTTTCGTTGAGGAGCACTTAAGCCAGGCAGTTATTTCTACAGCACCACAGCTTTCAACGCCGTGGTCACTAAAATGATCCCATGTTGCTGGACACAATGAAGCCAGCGTAGATTTACACTAATTAAATCTAATTGATTTGTCGTTTAATAAAAGATGAGGCAGTGGCTTCATGAGGCGCATCTTGAGACGGGATGAAATGAGTCGGACGAGAGAAGTAAAGCAGGCAGAGAGCGAGCTAAAAGAATCAAAGCATGCAGAGAGAGACGAAGCGGTTGGTGCGTAGGTGAGTGAAATGCCTTTATTAGTAGGAAACCAACGGCAGACTTTATTGGGAGAAAAAAGGCAAAGTTTCGGGTCCTGAAATAACTGATGACATGTTACTTTAATGCTGGCAGTGTGGCTTAGTTTGTTGGGTGGATGCATCTCTTCTTTAGGTTGAGTCGTTGCCAGGATTTGCCATGAAATGACTGACTAGACATTTATGACGATGCCCACGGGATGATTAGTACTGAGATACTTTCACCTCTCTGGTCATAAACTAATGACATTCTCATCAACCACAGCCACAGTACTTTGTGTGTAGCGTGCACATTAACACCCAACTTAAAGCCTAACAGACACCAGCATGGTGGTAGACTCCCTTTCGTCAGAGGATGAATCTCCAAATAAACTGTAGGATTTTGAGATACTTTGCCTTACTTCTTTTTTAACCGCCCTGTGTTACTTTCCTCATTAGATGCATTTTATAGTTGACTTTGGAAAGAAGGTTTCCGTGGTACTTGGTGGGGAAATCATGCAGGGTTGCATTATGGGATGAAATAGTATAGCTGTATCTTCTCCACTCACATCAGAGCACAAACCCTCTAAACCCAACAGGACCCACCACCGACACACATGGAGGGATTTGGCATATACATTTCACACATTTGCTCTGTGAACATCTTAAAGTACAAATACAGCGGAATTTGGGATTTCTACATTCTACATTGATTCACTCAGTCAAAGCTGGTGCCGTTAAGAGATTGCTATTGTTTTTTGCTTATTTGTATGTATATGCCAAAGTCAGGTGCTGAAAAGGTGACTGTGAAAGGTAGCCATGGGGACAGAAGCTTGCAGAGGAAGTCAGGCAGCTTTAGGGTGGAGACGACAGAGTCGTGACAAGGGACAGCAGTCCAGAGCACACCCCGAGGACCAACAAAAACAAAAACACATTAACACGGTTCCACACACAAAGTCACACACGGCAACGGCTAAAATCACAGGGACTCAAACAGAAACAACAACGTGAAACACACACTTTCTCAGGAGAGAATGAGATGAAAACCACTTTGTGGCCGACCGTAGCAATACAGTGATTGTAAAAAGATAATGATCATGACCTGGGATGGAGGTCATGGTTAGACTTGCGCTTTAGGTCACAGAATAGAATAATTGCATCGCAAAGTGAACACAAGATGACATAAATTAAAGATATCTTACATTTAGATTGCTCTTGTAAAATGAGAAAGATGTAAAAGAAAAATAAGGGTTAGACAGACACAGGGGAATTATTGAACGAGGGAATGTTTTGTTAAATCTTTAAACTTAAAGCAAAACTCTCCTCCCCTGTATCACCATGACAGCTGAGAAGTACCACTGACTACTTTCTTACCGGCAAGCCCTTCTCTCCTGGCTGTCCCTTGGGACCTGGTGCTCCCTGAAAGAAATATTCAAAACAGAATAAAAATATGACATCAGAACAATCCGCTGAAAGCGTTGCCGCCGTTTACTTCAACAGAATGAGCTCCTCCTCTCTGCGACTGCGTTGTCGCAGGTCGGTGTGATCTGCAGCGCTGCTGGTTAGCGTAGTTTACAGTACTGTAACCAGCGATGACATGTGTTGATGTTTCCCCCCCACACGCTGGTTTACTCAGGCCAAAATCGTGGAGGAAGCTTACCGACTCGCCCCTGAAGCCCCTCTCTCCTTGGTAACCTAGAGGGCCCTGAAAAAAACAAAGGCGTGCTGTTCAAGGATGTCGAGTAGATGAGGAAAACCTACTGAATTTTCATAGAGTTGCGGGTGTGCTCACTCTCTCCCCGCGATCTCCCTTTGGACCCACAGGGCCCTGCGGTCCAGGAGCTCCAGATTTCCCCTGTATTGAGTCAGGAAGTGGAGAGATGACATCGATTGCATTGGACGAGCGACCGATCTGATGGCGCTAAACTCGGTAAGTGCAGCACAACGCTGTAGTGAGTGAGCTTACATTCTGTCCTGATGGGCCAACAGGTCCTGCCGGGCCTCTGGGACCTGGTGGGCCTAAGAAATAGTTTAAAAAAAGACTCATGTTAGCACCCCAATGATGGAGGGGGAGTTGAGGTTTAGTTGTGTTTTGCGCATTGTGTTGTTGTGTTGTCGAGTAAAAAAAATCAATTGTCTAAAGGAATATTTTGTACTTGGTCACCTGGTTAAAGATAAATACCACAAATACCAAAAAGTGTCGAGTTGTGTGCAGTGCAGGGATAAACACTCACCGAGCGGCCCGGGGGGGCCCTGAGGTCCTGGAACAGGCGACCCTCTGGAGTCATGGAAAGTGTTGCTGAACAAGAGGTCTTTTCCGCGACCTCGGGTTGAAAGAAATTGCTTGAGTTACTTTACAGTTGTACACATTTAACATTTATCAACTATGTTTATTTCATGTAGCCCTTAAGGGAATCGTTGGAACTCAAACCCGGCTGTAGTTACGGGTTTCAATGATTGTCGACGAATACGAAACACACTGCCATGACATGAAAATATTGTTTGCGGCAATTCATGTGATGCTTTACCTCAAACAAGCTCCACCAATGAAATGGATGTAATTTGCTGATGTTAATCTTCAGGATTAGGTCTAAAAACACTAAACAAATTGTAGCACTTAATTTGTACTTATAATGGCTCTTATCTATAGCAAGTTGTTAATCGGCTTACTTGATGAAATTGCAATTTCTTGTTTCTTGTTCTTCTGGGTTTGTATCCTTATGGTTGAAATGCACTTATTGTAAGTCGCTTTGGATAAAAACGTCAGCTAAATGACATGTGATGTAATGTTGATAGTTTTAGTTGATGAGGCGTTTGTATGACGCCTGAGAGAAAGTGCTGTCTGAAGAAGTCTGTGGTGAGATGTTCCCACGGTTGCGTTTGTGATTTAACAGACCTGAACCTCAAAGCTTTTCCTGTGTGTGATGTTTTACTTTGGTTTTATGTTGCTCTATGACTGCTTTTTTTTTTTTTAACACAACATAGTTTGAGCTCAGGGCTTTTCTCAACGCTACAAAAAGCTGCAGAGCGAGGCACAATCCTTTTGAAATAATGTTTTTTCACTGCGCAGTGGTGCCGCTGTCGCGCTCGGTCTGAGAAGGCCTCGGGTCCTGCTGTCCGCACCAGAGAAGTCACTGCATTCCTGCAGTAAATTATTCCACAGGGTAATCCAACTGAATGAGGCGGATTGAGAAGCCAGACTCAGGGAAAGGAGGGTGATCTTTATTATAACCTCCAGAGGGCAGTATCCTCCAACAAACACAAAAACTACGACCCTAATGACTTCAACAGGTTGGTAAACTACACTAAAATGCCTCCAAAAGCCCTTTCAGTAGCAGATCTGTGTTTCTCATCCATTAAAAACATTGGAATTTCGAATCCGCTGTGTAACAACGCTGACTGGACGTCTTCACCTCACTGAGATGGTGGTAAACGTTTGAGCAATAGAGGAAGTGTGCGGCCATTGGGCCATTTTAGACGGGTAGGAAACACAAATCCAATCACAGCGTGAGTCAGGAGACTCAGAGAGGAGGAGGAGGATGAGGAGGAGGAGGAGGAGGAGGAGGAGGAGGAGAGCTGACATCCTGAAACATCTTCCAGCTGCCAGAACGTCGCACATCGCTGCCAGATCTCAACCAGAGTTGACATCCAAAAACCCGGCCGCTCTCTCTGTCTCTTTCTACTCTCTACTTAACGTGACATAACAACGTGTGGAGGATGTTCAAACATCAGCGCTGCGCCTCAATACTACGTTCTGGCTGCTGGACAGGAGCCCTCTCCTGTTCGGCTGAAGGGAATTCCAACCTCCTGATGCACACGCAAAAGCCAAATAAGCCGGTGTTTTCCAAAGGAAGCTCAAAACGTCTCCTACTGTTACTTTGATGCGAAAGAAATGGCTCGCAGTCTCGGAAGCGATCGTGGCCACCGCGACGAGCCCACAGCTTTCTCCACGCAGAGAGCCAGAGCTTTAAAAATATACGCGCGCCGAATTCTTTGCTTTACCACTGAAGCCACATTTTAAAAAGCAGAGGCGTTGAGAAGGCCTCCATCTGTTTCTCACACGTCCCTTCAGCTGTGTGAGCTGCCCACATCTGGAAGTTGTTGAGTGACATCAGTGATGGACAGGGTCTCATCAAAGCATGTGACGTCCGAGTGGATCTCGGACCGTCTCTGCCTTCGTTTGAAACTCTTTGACGCTCCTCTGGCTGGCTGGTAGACAATGAGGAGCGAGTAGCTGTTAGAGGATTACCGCCATCCTGTCTGTTTCTCATTCACTGTGTTTCCTTTGTTTATCAGTAGTCATAAAACTTCTGAAAGCCATTATGCAGCCGGAGAGAACATGTCTGTGAGCCTGCTAGGGACGCATGAATATCAAGGGTTTGGGGTCTGTAAAACATCGGCGGGCAGCCGCAGAACAAAGGCGTGGATTTGATCAGTGTACACGCACTCATTCATGGTAAACTGATTTCAAAATGAAATATACAGCAAGAAAATTGCATTGCTTTTACTTATTGAAGTCTGTTTACAGGTGTTTGGGAGTACCGCTGTATAAAGTAGCATGAAGCCTCTAGTGATGTTACTTTAGACCGTATCAGCAGTATGAAAATAAAAGGCGTGTGGTGGAGGTAGAAAGCAGACCTCTGTAGCTGCCTCCTCATCTCTGCTTGAGACTTTCAGCTTGTGTTTAGCTGCTATTAGCAGCACAATGTTAGTGGGAGAGTTGACTTAACTTAAATACATTTTTAACATTTTATTTTCAGGTATTTTTTGAACTGTTGTCGTGGACGCTGTACGACGTCCGTTACTTGTCCGAGGTCTTACTCTGGTCCGGATCTGGGATGTGGGCACTGGCCTCAGCTGGAGGCCCCGGAGGGCCAGGCGGGCCTGGAAGACCCCTTTCCCCTGGGAGTCCTTGTGGACCACGAGGGCCTGAGAAGAGAAATGACAGACACATCACTGTCGTGAGAGGTATGTTAAGATATATGATCAGAAGGGATAATGTGATTATAGGAGGATACGCTATGACCAGTGAGGAAAACGATTAGATAGAGCACTGAATGATACAACACAATAAGGTCTGGCAGGATTGCGTGTGTGTCACTATATATTAAGTATGTATGTGCATATGTGAAGTAAACTAAGCAGCTGGACAGAGAAGAAGTGTATTAACTGGGAGACTTTGTTGTAATTTAAATGAGAAGGATGATCTTTAACGGTCCGGGGCTGGGAACTGATTTAGGGATCATTTGCGGAAACTCAAATAAGCACCGCTGACCTCTACAAAGTGTTACTGGCACTGGTTCATAGAAAATGAAATGCTTCCTGCGTACACATATTAGCTTTTGGACATGTGTGTGTGAGGAGAGTAAAAGCCCGTAGCTGGTCCATATGGGGTGGTTGTAAAAGTGTTCCTCCTCCTCCAGACATTTTTTCAAGGAGGGGAAAAAAAAAAGAACACCCACCAATGTGGGCGTGATGTAATGCTGCACCATAAACATCACCTCCTGCCCTCCGACGGACCCAGACTCATCACCTCTCTGTTTATGTACTGATGCAACGGACAATGACAGCACACTAAGCAAAGTAATGCTTTTACAGCTCTGATTTGACACTTCTGTGGCCGTTTTCACTTAGTCTTGGTAAACACTGCAGCATGACCGACTGTGTTTGGCGAAACACAAACTGCAATCTGCAGTGTAGTTTTGTTTGTTGTTCCGGCAGCACGATGGTGATCCCTCGAGTAGCAAGGGATGCTACATCAAAAATGTTAGTCAGAATTCTTAAAACAGTTTTCATCTATTTCCCAGGATATATCATGACGTATATTAATATCTAATCACTTCCCCCGACCATACAAGTTCACTTTTCTCCAAGCTTTTCAATGACCTTAAAATCACATTTGTCAACATTTTCCATGACGTTGAACACGTTCCAGTCCTGTGTTTATCTTTCAACTCAAAAATCTGCACAATAAGGAAAATAAGGAGCTTTGGATGCAACTTAAGACAAAGCTCTGGCTCTGGGCACTTATGAAGTAATGGAGATAGAAAAAACAATAACACCACAGGCATATGGAAATCGTAAGGACCTGGGATTTGTGTACATATAGATCATGTTCATTTCAGATTGAAGTCACATGGCGCTTCCTGGAAAGTGTGTTTGTAGTTTAAATGTACATCTTTACAAGTAGCAGGCACGGAGCAGAGAGGCATTCCCTTCATAATCCAGAGCAGAGAAGTGACATATAGAGAGTAGATGTTGTGATGAACCTATACTGCCAATCATCATCATTCATGTCCTAAGCTGCCTGTGGATTTACTTGTTTCTCCACAGGTTTTGTATTATTTGTACATAACCAGTGAGCTTCGAGTACATACAGCAGATATTTGACTCTGGTTGGTGAGGAGCAGCACATGTTTGGTGGAGTTACATAGTTTAAAAACATTGAGGTCCGCTGGAATGCTCCAACTTTTACCACTGGAGCCTCTGTGGGTTTGATTGAGTGGTTGAAGAGAAAGACAAACAATGTGTAGGAGGAAAACACACATTGGTCTTTTGTTGGAGATCTACCTGATTTCTTCTCGGTTGTTTCCTCGACTCTTTGGTCAATGAGCCTTTAAAATGTCTTGTTCTACAGACAATAGATGGTGGACAGGCAAGAGTTGCTTTGCAACTCGTCTCTCTCGATCACACACACAAATCAGTGTGTCAACATTCTGTAAGACGAGGTTTGTTTGTTTCTCTCACGTCACCACTGTCTCCTAACCGTGAATTTCTGCTTTCATCCCTCTCTTACCTGCAGGTCCTGAAGATCCCTTAAATCCAGGCGATCCAGATGGGCCCCGTGTCCCAGCCTCCCCCCGAGGCCCACTTGGACCTGGCAGCCCTCGAGATCCAGGCTTCCCTAAGAGGAGGAAACAGTCATCACGAAGCCTTCACTTGTCTCCATCCATAATGGTTTTACATGGGCGGAAGCAACAGCAGCTACAAGTTACCTTCTCTGCCAGGCAGCCCGTCTCTCCCATTTTCCCCCTGAGGACCTGTAATGAAAAACAGAGAAGAGGTTGTTGGAAATACACGGAGGAAGGGGACAAACATACTTATATCTTACTTAGGGCTGATTTAAATACTAAATAGTTTTCAATAACAAAATAAATACAAAACTTGGGGAGTAATTCATTGATTTGGACTCATATGGCTAATGGATTTCCGAAAATGATCAATTCTCAGAAATGAAACAAAGTCCTTTACCGCTCGAGTGGAAGCTGGGTGATGTCTGAACAAATGACCTCAAGTGATGTGACGTGTGAAGAGATCTTGAGGTGTGGAGACAAAAGAGCTACGTAGAGCACACTAGACCGCTGAACGCAGCCCCCATCTCTGCTTAAGGTCAGCAGCTCCAGCTAAATTACCTGCTATTAGCATCCAACAACCAAACCTCTGACCATTCCTGTCAAGTTGCACTGTAGCTAATGTAGGTGCTTGGTCCTAAACTAGTGTCTATTCTGTAGACAACAGGGAATGAATGTGGATTAAAAACTTCTACCATTTGAGTAATTTGAAATGTTCTATCGTCACATGACAATAACAGACAATAGCTTCAGGGTAAAACACATTTACAGAACGTTTTAAACGTCCTGTGACAGTGCAGCAAGGTCAGTGAACCCCTGCGGTGCTGAGCTTGACTGCAGGAGAGGAGAAAGACTTTTCTTGTGCTCGGAAGCTAAAGGAAATGCGTGTGTGCGCACTGGAGGAAGTGTCTGAGGTGAGCAGAGGGGGAGCAGGTTGAATTGCTGCTCGCTGAGAAAAGCTGAGAGGCATTTCTGACATTTCTTTTAATATACAACACATCCATGCATCTCAGCCTGCTACACCTACCTGCAGGTCCCTGCTCACCAGGAGCTCCCTGAGCGGCCACAGCCCCCATCAGTGATGAGGCCTCCGGGGCAGTTGCTCCTTTGCCCTGGGGATGGCGATGTGATGTGGACGCCGGGACAGTGTATGATTGCACCTGGTTCAGGGAGACATAAAACGAGCGTTAACAATTATCATTGTGATTGATGTGTGGTGTTTTAGGGATTCAGAGCTGGTGGCTGGTTGAGTCTGTCCAAACCTTCGCCTCCAGGGAGCTCAGCCGGTCGCTCAAAGCTGTGATTCGACTGCAGTTGAGACAATCTACAAAAAAGGAGATCAGACACTGTAAACATGTAATATATATATTTGCTATTCTGTGTTGTAGTAAAAGCAGAAACATGTTCTTACTAGAGATGGGCTCTCCTGTACGAGCAGGCGGCCGACGTAGCGTGGATGGTTTCCTGATGGCCTCTTGAGCTGCAAGCTGGTTCTTCGCATCTGTGACAGAAGATAGAGGCTGGATATTTTTACCCCTGTTCCAACTGCGAGTTCTAGAGCTCTTTTTCCATTGAAGTTATATAAGTGCAGTCCAAAAACCACTATACCGACAATCAAATGGTGGCTATCATAGTTCAGAATTCTACGTAAGATCTATTTAATTGTTGACTTGTCAGTCCGACAAATGATTGGTCAATTGATCAAATTGATCTTTAATCAAAAACAAAGTTCATCTTGTTTCGACTACTCAAACGAGGGGTTTTGCTGCTTTTTCGCCATTCCGATTGAAATTTGAACGTCTGGGAATATTAGTCGGACAAAACAAGACATTGGAACCTACCTGGGGTTCTAGGAAATAAAAATGGAGCTGACAGAAATAAAAAAACATGTTATGCAAATATAACATCCTATAGATTGAAAAAGTATTTCCCCTATGCAGAGATGTGGACACAGGTGTGGAGTTCACAATAGTCATCACGGGTGTCCCAGCTATATGAGCATGTGCTGCAACCACTCGGCTACCGAGGAGCCCCACAGACATGCAATTGTTCATTTATATTTACTTGGAACGTCACCACAATCTCTCTCTTTCGACCGTACTGTAGATGTCATGTGCTAAAACTGTAGGTAAAAAAATGAACTAATTTGTTCCAGTGACAACTCCAACAATGCAGAGAGCAGACAACAGAAAAAATATCCTATTCAAAAGAAAAAGAGTTAAAGAAAAACCAAACCCAACTAATCGGTCTTCCAAATACCCATTAAAAGGCTGCAGGTGTCATTGAGTCATGTGTGTTTATTGTTATGTCATCACGCCAAACAGATGGACACTCCATCGAGCTTGTGTGCGGACGTCTCAATGGGGGACGACACCAGAAATGAACTTGTTGCCGTTTCTGTCTGTGGGTCTAAATCCTTCAGGTGAACTTCTCAATGTCAAAAAGCCAGAGAGAGCTGACAATAACAATGCAATACAATATGTTGAGCGTTAATGAAGAGATACGAACGGAAATCCCCAGACAGTTGCTGCTTTTTTCATTGTTACACTTCCAAGAGACACACATCTTTGCCAAGCGGCTTTCCTTTCCCCTTGTGTCTTCGGAGTATACAAACTAAAGCCTTTCAGAGTGGGAGCGTAAAGACAAACAATAGTTCCCTTGTCCAGAGAGAACGGGCAGTGTCGGCTCGTATTCTGTCCTGCCTTCATTTTATGAAGTGTGGGAGTTGGTGTCCCTGGGTTCTGGATGTTTTCAATGGGCGGACCTTTTGGAATTGCTAGACTGACTCCATTGTCCGGCCTGGCCTGGCTCTGGTCGGCCCAGGTGCTCCTGATAGAAACAAGAGGCCGGGTTCAGCACCTCATTAGCCGCCAGGAAGCGCGTCTCTGCCACTCGGTGGCCAGCGGCCGCCGTCGACGCCGAGCACCTGCAGCACCACGATGCAGCAGGAGAGAAACGTCCCTTTTTCTCCGCATACGGTTTCCTGTATTGTACCAATCAGATGTCCTGATCCTTCTCTGTCCACTGCGGACAGAGGAAAGGAAATCGGAGAGCGTTCTGTCAAGCACAAAAAAACCCAATGTTTGGGAACTTAAGAGGCCATAGGAGGAGTACGGAAAGTACTGTCAGAGGATTACAAGTGTACATGTATTTAAACCAACCAAGAGCCGAGTCTGAAGTGTTATGGCGTGTGAAAAATCTCTTGCATACTGATTTCAATGTGCTTGGAGAACACACACGGACCGGCAGCGCACTTCAGCCCGCATGCGGAAGACTGCAGAGACAAAGAGAGGAGTGTGTGTGTGTGTGTGTGTGGGAGAGAGTAAATGAACATGCCAGGGACGTTTTCTCATGTAGATGGCTGCCTTCCATTACAAAGAGGAGTTTGGATAGGAAATCCAACTCTCGCCCCTAAAGGCACCACTTCCCCCTTTAGAGTGAAACACGCACCCGTCAGTCGCACTCCTGCTTGTACGAAGCCCGTCTCTCTCTGTCTCCGTCTCTCTCTCCGTCTCTCTCTGTCTCCGTCTCTCCGTCTCTCTGTCTCTCTGTCTCTCTGTCTCCGTCTCTCTCTCTCTCTGTCTCTCAGCAGAATGAAACTTTGACAAAAATAACATTGCCTCAGTTATTGAATGTCCCCCCTGCCCCGATCAACTCGGTTCATTGTATCCACTCTTTTGTTCTCAGTGGGCTAATTGCCCCAGTGGGGGGTGGGGGGGGTCCAAGAAATGTGTGAATATATTTGACCTTTAGCCCCAATTCGCACAGTTCCCTAATCAACCGCTGAGTCAGAACTGAAGACAAACCCACCGCAGAGAGTTCAGCAGGCCACCCTGACATCAGCCCTTTCTGTCTCTTTCACACACACACACACACGCACGCACGCACACGCACGCACACACACACACACACACACACACACACACACACACACACACACACACACACACACACACACACACACACACACACACACACAGAAAGGAGAAAGATATGATCGAAGGTCACATGGAGGTTATCTTCTATTGCTTAATGACATTTAGTAATGGTCAGGCTAAAGTACATGGTAATATTAATTTCATATTGTGCAATTATCTAAACAGCCTTTATCTAAATTAAAGTTTATTATGGTTTGAAGGCATCCAAAAGCTGAAGTGAGCACACAGGCCTTCTATTAAAGTAGTTGCAGGTGAAGGTTAGAAAGGGCCGATGTCTGCCGCACATGTTGCCCGTTGGGCCTCTGATCATGATGAGAGTTTCTATGCTGGGTTTCCTCAGTGTCACTAATGAAATGACCACTAGAATATGTTTGTTTGAATTACATATCCATGGTATAACCCACCAAAAAGAGGCTGTTCTGTCTGTAACTACTTTAAAAATCACATGGGATTGTATTTCCTTGCTCGCATTACATGCATGTGTAAGTCATGAGGCATGACGAAGCAGACAGGAGGAGGGTGAATGATCGCTCACCGTGGAAACAACCTGCCTGGTTATTCGACACCAGAGACAGACAGAGGGGGGAAGAAGACACATCTTCAACTTGGATTCCACAAAAGTAGTAACAGCCTTCTCTCTTACTGTTATACCAGTATAATATCCTTATGGGAGCTTTATTCCAAAGCTGCTATAATTAGCTCTTTAAGACCCACTTGGATCTTTGGTGGTGGCACCAGGGTGAGAGCCAAAGGAACCGTGACGAGGACTGCAGCTGCATCTCGTGCTCAAGAAAACTGAGGTGTGTGTGTGTGTGTGTGTGTGTGTGTGTGTGCGCGCGTGCATGGGCTCTTATGTGAGGCTTTGTCTTTGTGTTTTTGTGTGTGTGTGTGTGTGTGTGTGTGTGTGAGAGAGAAAAAAATGCAACGGTGAAAAACACAAACGCACGCACACACTAGCTGTGTTATTAATGGGGTTCTTCCTTCATTGATGCTCTCCCACTGAAAATAAACCAGTGTTTCAGTACTAAGAGCCCAGTTAGCGCTGCCAGCCGGAGCCCTTAAACACGCGCCTCACACGCCGCTCAACCGGCTGCCTGATCACCCACTGGCATTTATCTTCCTTCTGCAGAAAAATGTAGCAGCTCGCCCACATAAAGGTCTGTACACATATTGCAGCATATAGTGTATCATATCACAGTGTGTGCACTTTCTTTCTTTTAACAGAGTTATCTCAAAGTTTGTAGTTGCTCTAGGGAGATGAGTACAGGGGCCGAGCAGCAGCTGTGAACGCAACCATGAAAACACACACACACACACACACACACAGCAGAGAGCGAGGTCCTGATCCATCTCTGTCTGGTCGACTAGCTGAGCTCAGCACCGGCGGCCTCCTTAGTGACCAGATGCTGACAGCCAACCAGGGAAGGCGCTTGTCTCCGTCTCTGCACCGTCTGACTGAAGACCGCTGCTGCCTTCACATAAACACACACGCACGTTGAAAAGGGGGCTTCTCGGAACACAAGTTTACGGATCTGATTTGCAAATCTTGCAGACCCGATACATCTGATCTGGTCTATCAGAGCTGACTCATCAACCAGTATCGGGTATATGGAATTGGGGGAGAGAAAAAATATTATTCTATGAAAGCGTAAGCAGAGCCATCAGCAGCTTCCACCTCCCACACAGCTGACGGGCGTCTGGTCATCGGGGCTCAGCACAGTGCAAACCTGCATTTAGCCAACACGTTCACCGGGCTTTCCCAGGCTCGCAGGCTCTCTTTTACTAGGTGATTGACCCAAAGGGCGGGACTCACTTCATCATTTCCTTCCTCGGGAATTGCCACTCTGCTTCCCGAACCTCTCAGCCTGAGAACGGAGCGGCCCACACACACACGGGACAGGTTCAAATGGTCAGGTAATTGATCGCAGAGAAAAAGGGAAGCTGAGCGAGACCGAATCTTCACCTTTGCACTTTGTTTTAGTCAAAAACAAGTGCGGGTCTACATCTGCTGTGGTTTACGAGGCTCGGTGGGGTGCGGCAAATGAAGCCAAGCTTTAGCCTCCAGGACCCTGAGGTGAGAGTGTGCGAGGTCAGAGAGCTTTGCACCTCGTGCACACACACACATCTCACCCCATCAATCAGCACAGACACGTAACCCAGGCCGCACACACACTCGCCACAACACCCCAACCACAAGCTCCGCAGGGCCGGACCTCCGCCAGTCACTACCAACCGGGAAAACACTTAACAACGTGAAGTCCGCTTACTGCGGATGAGGAGATGAACTTTGGGGAAATTGACTTAAAAGTCCGTAATATTTAGTCATTTTAGTCAAAAAGAGTTGTAATTATTTGTATTGAATATCAATAGTCTGCTTTCCAATTTTACTTGACACTTCCAGTTAGTTAAACTACTTTTACTAAACTAATTATTGTTCTTCAAACCAAACGGCCCAGTATCCTCCTTTAGCTGTTAACTACATATTTCTGAAAGCATGTCTGTATAAATATTCCTACCAATACCACAATCCTCACATCAGCCCTCTCAGCTCTTACAGCCCATC